CGAAGATGAAGCCTCCTACTCTGATTTCTATCCCATCATCCCGGCTGACCTGATGTCCGTCAAGGAGATCCTGAACATGGACAACTTCCCCCGCCACAGGACATGGTGAGATAAGATTTATCAGAATATATGGCAGAGGTTTTAGTTGATCATCAACAAAGTCTGAACAATATCAATTAGGTTTGGGTGGTATCTATTTACTTATACCTTCTTACCTCCTGAAATTTCACTGGGGTTTAAGGTATATGCAATATTTTTGCAAAAAAAAAAAAAAAAAAATGAATGTATGCATGTATGACATCATCTATCTTTCAATACTGTGTGTGTAATATGCAATTAGCCTACTTAGACAGGTCTGCTGGGTTTAAATAATTATGGTCCATGGAATAATTAATTGAGAGGGAAAAAGCACACAACTTCCTCCTTCTGGAAGACCTGATGACACTCGTTGCTGCAGTGGATACCAATCACTGGGCTGAGAGGAGTGGATGTGCACATAGCTTTGAACCAGTGCTGGCTGGCTCACGGTTATCATCCACACTAAATCCAAAATAATCCCAAAACAGGGGCAGAGGCATTTTTCTTGTTTACTAGTCCTGTAACTAGGGCTACAGCTAACGATTTCAGTAATCGAGTATTCTACAGATTATTTCATCGATGCATCATTTAAGAAGTATCCCCACCACCACACCCCCCCTTGCCCCCACCTGATTCCGGGATCAGCTGTGTAAGTTAACTCATGACTGCGACGTTATAACCCAAATTCACGGCCCAACCAGGAGAACAACAACACACATGTATACATTTATAGCTGAGATTGCGGCTTACTTTTGCTAGCCTTCAACTGAACAATCAATCATGATTTTAGTTAAATGCTAAAGTTTCCGTTAATGTTACCATGTCTGTGGTCTGCTCCGTGGACATGTTGCTACGGTGGACAGACTGTAACATTCCACAGTTGTTGTTTTCTTTTAGCTTGAAATAAATGGATAAATGGACAATTTAAATGGATTAAATGAAGAATCTATGCAAAATATTTGAGTCAATGCTTTTTAGTAATCGATTTAATCGATAAATCGTTTCAGCCCTACCAATAACATTACACCACCACTCATCACTATCTAGTAGCTACTTTTTGTGCAAGGTGTGTGTGATTGAGCAGGAGAGAGCACGCGGCAGAGAGAATGCAGTGATGCAACAATACAAAATTGACTTTTATTAATTTATTTGTCCAATTTAATATCTCGTTGCTCATCGCCTTCATGTCTTCGGTCATTGCTCAGCCCAGTGCATATCCTCCCAAGGTAGCTAACGAGTTTGGAAACCCAACAAATGCTGTTCTGGCCCTCTCCACAGCTGCAGCAGTGGCACAGACTCTGCTCATGGTGTGGATGACCATGCTGCAGCGCAACTTGTGTCCCAGCTTCCCAAGCAGATCAGAAAAGGACTGCTTCAGCACAACCATTTGCGTCTGGCTTCACACACTTTCTCCAAATATGTGGAAACGGCCTTGGAGACATTGAGCAGAAGAGGCATCAGGGTTTTATTCCTTCTGGACGATCTGATCATGATGGCATCCTCCGGAAAGAGCGCAGGACTTCACACGGTGGGGCTTGTGAAACACCTGTTGCTGCTAGGATTTGTCATAAACAAGTGAAAGAGCTCTGCCCTTTCCTCCCAGTCAATAATTTATCTGGGAGTGCATCTGGACTCATCCAGCATGAGTGTGACGCTATCTCCAGCCAGGCTAGAAGCGTACAACTCTCTCCAGCTGTGCATCATGCCTCACAAAGTGGTGACAGCTCTGTCTGTGATTAGCCTGCTGAACATGATGCCAGCTAGTCATGTAGTCCCTTAGGATCTTCTCGACATGAGAAAAACCCAGAAATGGTTCGGCTGCCTCTGCTTCGACCAAATATGTCACAGTAGACGCAGTCAGACTGGTTATCCCCTCGGGAGAGCTACGTCACACATATCTGACACAATTGCATGTCTCCTTGAATGGGGAAGAATGTGTCAGTCTCAAGTTGCTGGAGGAAAGTGGCCAGAGGATTCATTTCTCCACATAAACTGCCTGAAGAGGTCTACAGTGCTGAAAGTGTTAAAACACGTGGTGGTGAGGACAGACAACCGGACAGCTGCTGCTTATATAAATTGCTTGAACTGAGCCGCATATCTGATGTCACATGTCAAAACGAGTAGAGGCTGAATCCCACACTAATTCAAATGTTGTATAGCAGTATTTTATATGATTAAAGTTGACAATGGCATGCTTAAATTGCCGTGCTAGAATCTACTAATGTTATCATTAGCTCTGATAGGGCTGTGTGTAAAGCTCTTTTTTTTTTTTCCCCAACATGTAGTCTATTAAGATAAACACATAAAAAGAGTAACTTCTTATTGTATACCGGTATACTAAAAGTGCTGCATCAGAAATACTGTTTATTTATTTTTAACAGCAGTAAGTACTGTAATACAGAGTAGAAAAAATATCTTCATTAGAAACAAAGAGCAAAGAATTACGGTGGCTCCCAGGGCTCAATGAGGAATATTTTTTTGAGGACGATGAATTTTTTTTTCAGGACTACTTTGCGTTACCTCGCAATGTGTTTTGCATTCCCTCGCAATACTTTGTGTTACCTCGCAATATGTTTTGCGTTCCCTCTCAATACCTGTCTTCTTCCGTTAGCCTACTTCTGAGCCATATGCTCAGCTGCTCTCAGCGCAACACTCCAGCTTATTGAATTTTACTTTGAACGGAGAATTTCCTATGTTGATATAGTAGCCTGCTACTGCTCAATAGGCATATTTATGTAGGCTTTAATCAAAAAGGACCAGGCACCACGGTGGGTGATCGTTCCAGAGGAGTTGGAAGACAGCCGGGATAGAGCCATGCTGGCCCAGCTTGGACGTAAGGCTGCTCCCAGTAAATGTCCGGTCTGGAGGAGATGGGACTCATGCTGCCAAACACCGGAAAATTGAAGACTGTTAAGCCGACATCTTTACGCAGACCTGCCCCCATCAATGTCCTGGAGCATGCAGCGGGCACACAGTGTTCTGTCAGAGCGCAAGGCCCTGCCAAGATGAGAGGAAGCGGATTCTGTGTTTACATCAGTGATGCTTGGTGCTTAAACAGTCAAAGTGGATGGACACTGTTTCCTACATGTCAGACTTCATATGGAGGCTACATATCTCACATTATGCAATCCTTTCCACTCACTAGGCTAAATGTTCATGCTGCTACGGCACTTCCACACTGTTTACATAGCCGACTGTTATTAGGCTGCTCCCGCTACTGGCTTATATTTCAGAAGCTTGTAGCCATCAGGGCTCCGCTAATGTTAAGTAGCCTACTTCTGATGCAGCTATTATTTAAATAGGTTAGAAATAGGCTATACAGGTGAACATACTTCAGATTTGGGGTTGCACTATTAGGCTACGCACTTTGTAATGCTCCAGCCCTGCATGCCATTCTCACTCCCCTGACAGTATACAGATCAGCTGTCTCGTCTAGTGTCATACTGTAAATTACCGTCGTATTTGTGCGGGCCTGACTAATAGTGAAAAGCTCATAAAATAACCTCCTGAAGATGCATTAAAAATCACAAATGATTCAAAGTAACTTTGGTTTAATGACTGCTGCATTAAACAATAAATGCCATTCTTTCTTTTGGCTGGCCAGCATGTCTATTTTTTGTTTTGTGTCTTGTAAGTTGAATAGGCTATTGTGACTTTGTTTTTAGCACATTGGACCGCGAGAAATGGCATTTCGTTATTCGGTATGTGGATCAAGACCTTGCAACTCACATTATGCAATACTGTCCACTCACTAGCCTATAGGCTAAATGTTCATGCTGCTACGGCAAGGTATTGCGAGGGAACGCAAAACATATTGCGAGGTAATGCAGAAGTAGTCTTCAAAAAAAATTCATAGTCCTCAAAAAATATATTCCTCACTGAGCCCTTGGAGCCACCGTAAAGAATAACTTATTTAGTCTAAGAAAAAATCCACAATTAAGGCAACAGGATTAAAATTTTATGAAGGCCTCTCAGTTTTGGACACTTTGGATTGTTTGTTATGCATCTGCATTTCCTCAGAGCTTTCTGACTGGATTTATATTTATCATCATGAAGCTCTTGTAGCTCTGAGTAACTGAATACGTCCACCTGAAACCAGTATACAGGTCTTTATTTTCCATATTATTCCCATACAAACGCATCTCCTACTTTCATACATGGCATGATTACTTTTACAAAAATAGAATTAACTCTGGAAAGGTAGTGATTTGACGATATGATCTGACACAAGGGCAGCCCTGCTAGTAGTAACATGTTGTCCCTTAATCATAAAGACATCTGTAATTTTACAGCATTTAAGGGCACTTTCCTTTTTCTCTTGTTCTCCTGTGCATTTTTTCTCTCCACACTGGCTGGCCACACACACTCATGCACTGGTTGACCGCTGTGTTGGTGGTCCAGTGGTCAGTCAGCAAGTTTAATCTCCACGTCAGCGTCTTCTTGTTTACTGTGTTGTCAGTCAAGGTAGGCTTAACAAATGGACCAATGAGCAAACACTATGTGCAGGTAGTACTCAAGGGAGTTGTAGTGTCATAGTGTCAAATTGCAATTTGTTTGTTATTTCAGTGCCTTTTGAAAAAAAGACTACAATTTTTTTCGTGTGTTAATGTGCCCTGAACTTAGGGGCGTAAACATCCCAGATGTTACATAAAATCTAGCATTCGCCTGTTTTTCGGGGGTATTTTGGATGCGTGAGATTTACATATGAAGGAGGAAACAATAGAGACTGAGGCTCACGATATGTCCGTTACATGCACTTAATTCTTTTTTATTCAAATATGCTAAGGAAAATACATTTTACATTTACATTTTACGCTACCTTTAAGTCTTTAGAATATGGTGTGTAAGCCAGGACATCTCTGCAGCATGACGATATTTTATTTTAAATGGTAATTGACACACATATCAACTTTAACAAATATTATACCTCCTGCCATTTGAAAATTGCAGTAGGCCATGTTGAGCTTTTCATAAAATTTCTATTAATTGTTAAACCCTACTGCAGATGATTTATAATGAAAATAATTGTTAGTTGCGATCCAACTCCTAATAGCCAAGCTTCACAACAAAGAAATCAAGTAACACCATGGGGAAAAAACAAATGGAGATCTCCATCTGCAGCTTCAGTTTGGGCACATTATATTTATTTCTTATTCTGGATTCTTTTGTGGGAATAAAAATGGCAACAACAGTGGATGAGTCTCTTCTTCTCAGGCTGAACCAAAGACTATAAAGCAAGCCTCCACTTTTCTCCAGAGGACTTCCTTCCTGGATGATCTGTGCTCATCATAAAATTCTGCCTCTCCATCAGTAGTCACCACCACATCCTCTCTCTCCGCTTTATTTGAGAAAGTCGAGTGGGTCAAGTTTCACTGGTGCTTTGCCCTGCAAGCCATTGACAGCACAAGAGTTTTTATGCCAATAGAGAGTCTCAATAAACAACAGAAATCAAGGCTCTTTCCTCACTCTCATCTGTCTGTAAAAAGACCAGCTGGGGACTTGTCCCATCATTTGCTGTCTCACGGATGTCATAAAACCAATAAGCCATAACCATTCAACTGAGTCTTACAGTGAAACCTTTGTATTTGTATTTTTGTTTTGATGGTGAAGAAGAAGGAGCCCCACATCTTACTGGTAGAAAGTAGTGCTAAAACGATTACTTGTTAAATAGATTTTAAGTAAATTAACAATCTGCGGTCGTTGGTCGGACAAAAATGTATAATGAAGACATCAACTTAATTAATTGTGACATAACAAATGTATAATCAATTAATCAAGAAAATTATTGAAAGATTAATCACATCATAATGAAATAATCACTATTTGCAGCCCTGGAAGAAAGACAAACTCTACTCTAAACTTATCTAAAAGAGTTAATAGCCCAGGACATATTATATGTCATTACCATAAGAAGTAACCGGTCAACTGAAAAATTACCAGACAGTAAGCACTTGGCTGGTAGCTGAACTTAATTTCCTGCCAGTACACGAAGTACTGAACTTATTAGTGAATCAGAATCTGAGAGGATTTTGTTGATGACATGTGTGAGCAATCTTTTACTTTTTTTAAGTGTCTTATGAACATGTTGCCAGGACAGGATTACTGCTCAGCTGTCATGGAGACGATGTCATATATCTAAAAATAAGTCCCAGAATAGAGAGGTTTAGGTCACCAAGAACTGGAAGCAAGAGGATTGTTGCCTCTTGTGACAGGATTTGCTTTACCAAAATCCCTTTTCTACTGGAGGGGCAACTTCCCCAGTCTGGGTCACGTAGTATCTGTGTTCAACTGCCTTATTAACACTGTCACATTTGGAGGCTTAGTGGCAGCCTGTTTGCTGTTCTCTTCTATCCATCCAGACATTGATTAGACTTTTTGTTGTGTCAAAAAGGATTTGACATATCTGGTGTGTGTATACGTCTTCATCAATGCAAAAAACAACAACAAAAAACCCCCCAGATTCTTTCATCTAGTTTTTTTCTGGTAAGTTGCTGGTTAACATTGGATAGATGAACAGACGGAAGTCACAATGAGTACTGAGGGAGAAGGTGGGTAATGGTAGAAGATAGAGTTGCCAAGGAGGGAAAGTGAAAAGGCGGGGAGGTCACTGAGGGTGCAATCACACCCTCTTGAAAGACAAAACACATCTGACAGTAATGAGTCTCAGCTGCAGTGATGTGGCCGTGCCAACTTGACATCACATTAGGTGCCCTCTCCCATGCCACTACCACAACCCTTCTTTTCGTCAATGAGCAGTGTCTGCTCAGCTCAAATTCCTCGGTCTTGTCTCACCTCAATTTGTCCACCTGTTAAAGCCCTCTACTTTCTAAATGTGAGCAAGGTCAGTTCACTCTAAAGCAAACCGCCAATCTTACCCCACTCAGAAGTGCTGAGACGAATATGGTGTGGATGGATTTTTTAGGATGGAGGCTAGATATCTAATAATGCTGGAGATGATTGACTCCTCCCAGGATAAGAGAGGAAGGACGGAAGGATGAAGTTGAAAGCTCTAGAGGATTGGCACACTATTTCTGGAAGGCCTGAGTATTGCAAGATGGGGGAGCATGACATTTGTTTTGATTTGTGTGGAAATGAATGCGCCAGTTCCTTGCTTGGCTCCAATTGGACATTAATATCAGATTCACATAATGGTTTTTCTGTTTTCTTCTTCTTCTTGTGGTAAGGGGTAAATTATGCAGCTGACTTATTCATGCCAGGTTTGTCTTGGCAGGAGGGGTTTGCTATTCTTTGCACCAACAAGTAATATTAAAATTTCCATTTGGAGCAATAATTAAGCCATAAACCCTGTCATACCCACTGACTTGATGTGTTCCAGTGGTTCATTCCCTCAAGGCTTAAAATCTGAGAGCCCAGAGATTAAAAACACTAAGAGACACACACTTTACTAATTGAGTTTGTGGCAGAAAAAGTCAAAGCCGTGTTTCTGAGTGCCTATGAGTGTGAGTATGTGTGGGCATGCACTTGTCTGCATATGCATCTATGCATGCACATATTTATTTGCATATTTATTCATGCTGTTTGTGCATTTCGCTGAATTATCACAAGCATTTGTAGGGCCATTCATGCTCTAGTGGCCATCAAAGCTCAGAGAAGTGTTTGTGAATATTTAAGATTCTGTCTCCTTTGTTTGTTGTGGCAGTGTGTGTGTGTGTGTGTGTGTGTGGTTGTGTGTGTGTGTGTGTGGGGGGGGGGGGGGCGTGTTCAAATAATTAAGCCCTGGGGACTATCAATCAAAAGATGGTTCAGGCAACACACCCCGCTGGCGATGAGAGAGAGAGAGAGCAGTATTAAAATGCTGTCTTTAAAAAACGCAAGCAAAATAACGGCTCGTACACAAGAAAATGTGCAATGCCATGTAGTTATGGATATATTCAAATGTACAATATACCCAACACATGTATATGTTGTAGACCACAAGAGGGCTTCACTGACGTCTGTAAGAAACTTCTGGTTTTGTTTAACAGCCTGTAAAATGAGCCCAGAGCGCAGGTTCAGCAGCTGTCGAGAAAAAATTTTTTTTCTTTTGAGTAAATAGACTATTACAAACCGCCTGCCCTCTTAGTGGCAACCAACTTCATGAGAGGGATGTCAACAGGGTTACCCACGCTGCGACACAGAAACTTCTTGAACTGTCCACACCTAAAGGAGTCTTGGAGAGGTACACATCACCATGTGAGAGATTTTAGAGAACCAGCACCGCATCGCTTCACAGTGATGTGATTCAACAGTGGCAGCGAGGCTTGATTTTCCACCGATAAAAGACAGACTGTGCTGATGTGAAATGACACGCTGGTTTAAATGGAGCAACAAACCACCAACATCATCACTGAGCCTTTTAAACGACAAACTGCCAAATATCAAAAAACTAGCATTTGTCTGCAAATGGACCGGGACAGAAAGAAACGTTTGTGCCAAAAAAACAAAACGAAAGAAAAATCAATGTAAAATTGCCGTTTTGCTTCTCTCACAGGTCGATCCGTGTTGTTACAAACCATGTTCAAACCTTTGTCTGAATTGCTGTCTCAGCTCTTGTCGCCACCTCTGATGGAGGTCTGAATTGTTTTGACAGCCTACTCAAAATTTTCAAGTGAAGCTAATTACTTCGCGTCTAGTTTTGGTTGAAAATATTTTGTGCAGCTGAAAATAAACACTTCAAATGTGCATAATTAACACACTTACAACAATTGTTAAACTGTGTGTGTATATATATATATGAATTGTACATTTGAATGTTGCTGCTATGTGTTCTGCATCTGCATTCACCACCCTTAGTAACTAAAACAGGAAGTACAATTACACAATTAACAGAAAAAAAAAACAATAGACCTGAATATATAAACCTTTGTGTTCCAACAGGGACATCCTGAAGGAAACTCTGGATGCTGATGAAGAGTATCACAGAGACAAGTGGACCATGTTTGGGAATGAGGCTGAGAAGGTAGAGTTGGATGTGATCAGGAACCAGCATCTGTTACGCACACGCGTTGACAGAAGGGCCCTTCGCAATCAGGTACAAGTCAAGTTAAGTGACCTATAAAAGGACTGCCTTGTATTCAGCTTTGTTAACACTTGTTAATCATGTTCTCAGCCACGCAACATCAAGGTTTGAGAGTTAGCAGTTT